AGACTTTGTCTGCATGGCCCAAAGCCCTCAATCATAGCTTCTGTAAACCCATCTTCTGCCTCCACTCCTAAAACTCCCATTCCTACATCCTCTACTGTAGACAGGCCATGTATTCTGCTACCCTCTCACATTTATTCAGTCCATTCTCAAAGATCCTCCCACAGGCTACCTTTCTGCCTCTGTCCACATAGTTCAAATTCAACACACACTTTCAGACCTACACTTAAGACACTAAGATCTAACACCAGATTTTCCTCAAAATCTTCCCAATGTATTAGAATCTCACATATAATAATATATTCACCTGCCTGCTTGATTTCTTGCTTTAAGTCTTTCCATTAATGTAAATATTTGGGGGACAAACCTAGGTGTCATGCTTCCTTCCTCTCCATTCCACAGCCCAGCATGTGCCTGGCACACAGTAGGTGCTGCTTATGATTTAAGATAATCTTAACCTTTCCCTATTGACTTAATACATAAGAATATTTTTGGTAGCCTGTCTTTTAATATGTGAGTTCCTTTCTTAAATACCTATATAAAAGAATGAATAATTATGGTAGAGCTATGGTAAATAGGCTCTAAGCCCCTTCCCAGAAATATTTGTGTAATGCACATTAGCTCTCAGCTCTATTGACTCAGAAGCCTCAAGAGGCAACACTACACAGGTAAAGTAATGGTTTTATAAATGATGAATGGAATAGCATAGAAATAGATGAGAGACCCCAAGGAGAATTTTCTAGCCAGCATGGAGTAGAAACGACCAAGAAACAAAAACCATTTTTTATAATGTCACAACTCATATAAAATCCTAACCCTCCATTAAAATCCTAGGGGAAGAAATCTCCAGAAACTCAGAACTACCAATCGTGATAAGTACTTGCTGATGTTAATCTAACTTATAATATAATTTTTATTTTTAAAAAAGGAAAATATTTATGAATACTTGGAAATACAGATTTTGACCTTGGGGATGGTTTCGTGTAGTCACTTGTTTTAAAAAGATGAGAAAAATTAGGCCGATACTGGGGGAAATCACTTCTCAGAGATCACTCTGGTGTTACCTGCATCACTACCACCTGCCAGAGAGGGTCTATTTCTGATGCATGGTGGTAGTTCCAGGGACTGGTTTCCATATTTGGCCTCTTTGCTGTGACCAGGACTCTCTGAGGAGTACTTTCACTCACTCCAGCTCATGAAGAACTCTTGTGAAATCTGAATGCTATTATTCTCTCTGCCTTGGACACTGGGAGGGCTAATAATGGAGCCAATCAGGAGGCATGTTAACCTGCACCTCATTCTCCTAGGAGTACCCTGTTCACACCTCTCTCTTCTCTCCCTTGACAATATGCTGCTTTGTGCTTCCTCCTTCTGAAGATACACATTTCCACTGCTTCCCAGCCACAGCCCTCTCCACTGAGGCACCTGGACTCTTTGTTCCCTTGTCACCTTCTCCATCCTTAATACTTCCATGAGTTGTTCTGCCCCTCCTAGGCCTTGACAGATACCAACCAGTGCCTGGAGGACACTATTTGTAATAAATATATTTCAAATAGAAGTTTCTCTCCCTCCTTCATCACCCTTGTCTCTGGATCTAAGGAGTCATTGGATTCCTTATTCCCTCTCTAGTGTTCCCTCCCAAACATCTCTCTAGGTTTCAGAATGAGAACAGAAAAACCTCAGAACCTCTTGTGGCTCTTTCCATGCAGTTATATAATTTTAACGCCTCTTCATCAGTAGTATCTACCAACTCTATTCACTGAAGTCTTTAACTCAGTTCTCACCATCCTTTGGCTTATCCCAAATACTGTCCTCATCTGGGTGCCCTCAGTTTCCCTAATTTTAAGGTACCTCCTAGTAGAATGGTTTTATTATCAAGAAACCCCCAACCTTATTTATGCCACCCATTCCCAAGTGCTTGTCCTTGATCAGTTTTGTTTCATCTCTGAAATGTTTGTTTTAAAATTCATTCCTCAAAGAACTTAGAGTGGCAATAATAGGAAATAACTAAATTAATTCTTTAATGGAACTAGCAATACCTTTTACAATATATTCTGGTTATCTGTTCAGTTCTTGTCTATTGACTCATCCTTTACCTTCAATCTTCTATATATAATGAGCATATTCAAAGCCCTGTGTTTTCTTTTTTAGCCCCCATAACCTTAACCAACTATGAATCTTCTATCTGATCCATCTACCACAACCCAAGTTTTCTGGATCTTCTGCCTGGAGCACCCTTTTCAGCCACATAAGTACCTTTTCTAAGATTAATGATCATCATGCCACTCCCTTGCATAAAACAGTGGGCTTAATAAATACTTATTGTATTAAAGAATAAACATTGAGGCCAGGCACAATGGTTCATGTCTATAATCCCAGCAGCTAGGTTGACTAAGGCAGGAGGATCACAAGTTCAAAGCCAGCCTCAGCAAAAGTGAGGTGCTAAGCAACTCAGTGAGATCCTGTCTCTAAATAAAATACAAAATAGAGCTGGGGATGTTGCTCAGTGGTTAAATGCTCCTAAGTTCAATCCCCAGTAACAACAACAACAACAAAAAAAAAAAAGAATAAACATTGAATGGATGACCAAGACACATTTCTGATAACTGAAAAGAAATTTGGTTCTAAAAACAGTTGTTAACATCACAAGACTATTTTCATTGGTATAGTTGTGTGATTTTAACAGACTTGTCAGGTAAAATACTACATGAGACATACTTAGATTTTAAGAATCTTTTGTGCATGAGGTATGCATATTTGATTGGGGATCCTCAATCAAATATACAGATTTATATTTGCTTAATCTGGCCAATTTAGATGCTGGGTACAAAATAATCACTATGCTTTGCTTCATTATAATAAAATAATAAATTAGTATCCATCTAGTCTGGCTGCTGTAATATTAAAATAATAGCAAAATTAGGTAATTTATGAAATTATTTTTCTTTCTTTTTTTTTTAAATTTTGAGACAAAGTCTGGCTAAACTTGTGATACTCTGCCTCAGCCCTCTGAGTAGTTGGGTTTAAGAGAAAAATTCTTTATAAAAAGTAAGACACTTAAGAATCCTAATCACTACAATCCACCATTAAACATTTTTTTGTCTTTTTTTAATTTTTTTTTTGTACTGGTAATTGAACCCAGGGGTGATTAACCATTGGACTACATCTCCAGTCTTTAAATTTTTAGGTAGGGTCTTGCTAAGTTGCTGATGGTCTCACTAATTTGCTGAGAAAGGCCTCAAATCTGTGTCCTACACCTTCATTACAGATATATTCCACCACACCTATCCACCATTAAACTTCTACTAGTGATGGAACTAAGAAAAATTTTAATTTTAAAAATTTTAATCACTTCAATTTATAAATAATCCATTTCCCATCACAAGTCAAAAAAAAGAATGTTTGAAGAAAATAGTAAGAAATAATAGCCTTTTATTAGCAATAGGGAAATGGATACAAATAAAAGAATGCGTATTGAAGGAAAAAGATATTATAGCATATCTTGTTAGAATATTAGAGATTGTCCCTGACTTAACGATTTTTTGATCTTACAGTAGTGCAAAAGTAATATGCAGTAAGTAGAAACCGTGTTTTAAATTTTGAAATTTGATTTCCCTCCCAGTCTACTGATTTGCAGTATGATATTCTCCTGTGAATCTGGGCAGTGGCAGTGGCCCAGGTCCCAGTCAGCCACGGGATGACAGAGTAATACCTAATCATATACAGTACACTGTGCTGCTAAGGTGATGTTCAGGGTTTAGGGGTATTGTCTCTCTTTCTGTCTTTCTTTCATGCTTGCTTTCTCTCTTTTTCCTGGTAATGGAGCTTGAGCCAAGGGCCTTGCTCATGCTAGGCAAGGACTCTACCACTGAACTACATCCTCAGTCCCTTTTATTTATTTTTCTTTTTTTATTTTTTATTTTTATTTTTTGTTGTTGTTGTTGTTTTTAGACTTCTTTATTTTGAATTATTTAGAGACTCATAGTAAGTTTCCAAAATAGTACAAAGAGGTCCCATGTACCTGTCATTCAGCTTTCCCCAAAAGTAGCATCTTTTTTTTTTTAATTGGTTGTTCAAATCATTACAAAGCTCATGACATATCATCTTTCATACATTTGATTCAAGTGAGTTATGAACTCCCATTTTTTACCCCAAATCTAGCCAGGTTTCCAAGGCAGGCCTGGAATTTGCAATTTATCTGGCTTATAATATTTCTAACTTAGGGTTGTTTTGTGAGGTCATGACCCCACTGCATGAATCAAGGGGCATCTGTACTGAATGAGGCAACTGGACCTTTCGGTTTCAGAACCTGCCCCACTAGGTTTTCAGATGGGTATACCATCTGGGAAATTGACCTATAACTATTTAGGCTGATTTTCTCTCCATTAAAAATATGAAATAAAAATATATGAAAATTTATAATTATAAAAGTATAACAAAATAGCACAAATACTTACACACATGAATCTGTTCTATTAAAGACTAGAATTTTGCCATTGTTTTAAATCTTTCACGTTCAAGTAAGAATATATCATAGAGTTGAAACTGCCCATATCAATTTTCTGATTCTGTTCTAAACAGGACTCTCAAAATGAAAGAGGTTATTTAAAAGTTTTATACATGTTTTATACTATTATGTATGTTATACATATATACATATTCATTTGTATACACATGAGTCCATACAAATATATAATATATTTTGCTTAAATTTTACAAAGATAATTAGCACAAGGTATTTATTGTTCAATATCACTCTTAATTCATTATATGTATTTAGATTTATGTATATTTATCTATCTGAATTCATTTTTTAAATATTTGCATAACATTTAATTAAGAGAGTTTTTAATTTTGGTGATTATATTTTTCATGTGTAAGCTTTCCAATTAGTTCATTTTCATGTGTAATGTTTCAATATGCCTTCCTCTAGACTCTATATTTTCTCATTCTTCATAAAATTATTTTGTTTCTAATCTCACGTTATTATGTTTGATTTTCAGAACACTCCCTACAACAAAACAAAAATGACAACAGCAATATAATGAAAACGACCCTCTGAGAAATTTCTTTGCACAGGTTCTCATCACTATCAAGTGGAATAACTGAAATTCAAAAGGACTTCAACTCTTTCCACTCTGCTTTCACACCTCCACAAGAGAACATTTGATTTGGGCAGCCCTCCATCTGCTGAATCCCTTGAATAGTAATGATGGTATCAAGAAATCATAGGGAGCAAAAAAAGAAATATTGGACACACAGAAGGGGAAAAGTTGAACCATGATAAAAACAAAAATATTGTGCATCATCCTCTCCCAAGAATGTTTCTATTCCCTATAGGGTCCCCCCTCACCTCACTGTCCATAATTCACTAAAATTATTCACCAGCATTTATTCTTCAACTGGATAACAAGTTTAGTCCAAAGGAATGCATCTCTGACAGAGATCCATAAACTTCATCTGAAAACGGCCACACAGTAAATACTTTTGGCTTGCTGGGCCATATGGTCTCCTTTACAGCTATTTAACTTCACTGATAGAGCCCAAAAGCAGCCATGAGCTGTAAGGAAGTGAATGAGTGGAGCTGTGTGGCACTGGGTCTTACAGCCCATGCGCAGTGGTTACCACCTCCTGTGCTAACTGGACAACTTATTAGACACTGGTGACAGGCGGATGGCAAATAAGCCTTGAACAGGAAAGACTCCCAGATTCTGTCACATGTGTAAACATAAGTTCTTGCCTTACAAATGCTCTGTCCTGCCCTCAGGTTGGCTGATGAAGGAGTTTGCAGTCTCTTCTGCTACAAATTTCAAAGAAGCCCAGCTGTCTGAAGGGAACTGTGAAACCACATGTGCTACTACCTAGCAGATGAAGGGGGTTCTAGTTCCAATTATCTCAGAGACTTCCGGGGGAGGCGTCAGCAGAGACATCTTGAGAATTACTGCTCCCTTACATGTTGACAGTTTCCGCAGAAGGAAAGATTTCCAAAGCACAGTGAGAGGAGAAAGTACTTCTATAATACTTCAAATATGAACTTTGAATACAAATATTGTGATTTTAAGGCACAAATATTGTAATTTTAAGGCTCTTCAAGTATTTGTTCCTTTTAATCAGCTTGAGTGTATCCTGGCCATGTGAAGAAAGTAGAACTTGGAGTCACCAATCGAGATGTCTAATTCTCCATATTTTCCATACGACGACTTCCAAAATTTAATACTAAAAAAATGGAGGAGGAGGAGGAGTTGGGGGTAGGGAGAAGAGAATGAGAAGAAAAAGAGAAGGAGAAGGATTAAGAAAACAGGGAGGAAAGCTAGAAGAAGGCAACATCTGGACCAATATACATCCTAGGCATCCATTATCTTTTTCTAAATAAAATTGGCATATCTAGGTCTCATCTATTTATTTACTACCAAATACATGTGAAATATATTTTACCAAACTGGATATCTTACAGGTTTTATCTTATATACCTATCTCAGAAAACTGATAGTTTATATAATTACTTGTTTTTTTCCACATTTCTTATTTAATTATGATTTCCTTAAAGATGAAAATTGCCCATTATTCATATTTGAATCTTTAGCCCATTTCTTCTAGATGATATTATTGGTACCCACCTATCATTCTTGTATCTCCAAGTTGGTAATGTGATTTTGCACTTCTTCCCATGATGTTATCACTAAACCCCTTGACTTTGGGCTAACTGTGTGACTTTTATTGGCTAAAAAAAATGAGATTGAGGTAATATAGACATGTTTGAAGACTAGGTCTTCAAAGGTCTGTGTCTCTGCTTCCCCTTTTGTGCAGTTTGCATCATCCTGATAAGAGTTTTCCCCAGGAAACTGCAGTACCTACATCTTGGCTGTAAAAATGAAGGCACAAGGCAAAGGCCAGAGGTAAGAATTCAGTGTGGAGCCAGTCAGGACCAATGAACCTCTTCCCAACTTGAAGCACAGGAACAATATTAAACAATTGATTAATATTGTTGAGTTTTGAAGTGATTTAGCAGTAATATCCAACTCAACCCTATAGCTAGTCCAACCCTATTCCTAGAAAAGTGCCTGGCATCGAGTAAAAGTTCCTTAATGGTTATAGTAGCAAAATAATGGGAGATCTAATATATCTTTCAACTATATCCACTCAGCCTTCTTCTTCTGGACTATTCTAGGCTGACAGCCATCCTTTTCACCTTAGTACCCTTGACTTTACAGATAATACAGATCCCAATATTTTGTAAGACTCAAACATCTTTCAAAAATACTTGATTTGAAATTATTCCCGGAAGTCTGCATGTGAGAAGGGGAGGAGGAGGAGGGAAAAAAAGAAGAAGAGAAAGAACAACATCAGAAGAGGCTGATATCTAGCCACTTCTCACATCTAGATCGGTACATTTTTCCTATTGAGCATTCCAATAATACATCCTTTCTCTTCTCTCTATACTTTCTTGGTTCTCAGTAAAACTTTGCTGTAAATATCTTGGAAGATATGAAGTCAATCTCCTTGTGTAACTAAATTTGTGGAGAAAAAAAGAAAACTTCTAGCTGCTCATAATAAAATTCAAGAGCAATAGATATTTTGAGCTATGATTTTTTTGGTTCTCACTGAGAAAATGTTCTTATTCTGATATTTCTCAATAGACCATTCCCTTTATTTCTTTTGTTATGTTTAAAGACTTAAAAGCAGCATAAAATTAATGTGACTGGACAAGACCTAAGAATGGATGTCCATCAAACAATAATGATGGCTGCAAGGGCGAGTACCCAATTGACCAGGGCAACCACCCCAAAAAACCAATTAGCAGAGTCACCTTCCTGTAGAATTGTTCAAGCTGCAAAGCGAGTTTTCCCTCTACTCTGCTAATCAGTGCCCCATATTTAATGATTTTTAAATAGAAATAGACATCTCTAAAGAATTCCACCACTGCTTTTTATCTAAAAAATTATCAGCATGCCTGATATTAGAGAAAAGAAGATTGGGCTCTGCTTTTAAGACCCTCCTTGAATCCCTCTCTTAAAATAGGCAGTGTTGCAGAGGCATTTTTAATTTTTGTCTTGTTGATAATTCTGTTTGATTTGTGAGGGGGCACCTTTTCAGATATTTGATTTTTTTCCCCTGAAAAATGGGAGGTTTACATGAACCAAATATAATTCATCTTATTTCATTTAGTATTTATATTTAGTACTCCACACCAATTTTCATTATTGACTTTCCATATTTACTAAGAGTTAATTTGGGCAAACTTCAATCAAGTCAGCCAAATAGGCAGGGGATGGCAGCTTGACATAGGTAACTGTGATTACAGTCAATTTGCTAAAGTGCATAGATATTGAAATAACATTCAAAAATAGTGTAGGATGAATGTGAAAGAAAGGACTCATATCCTCATCAAAGGCAGGTTCACACCTCAAGGGAAGATGTTTTAATTTGCATGAGCACCAAGTAATAGTTGACGGATCCTCAGCTTCATAGTAGATAGCGACCAGACACATTTCTTCATTGGTTCTTCATGGATTAGCATCATGGGTATGGAAGCTGTGTGGATTGCTCTTCTTTACCATAGGTATTATCTTTCACATCACTTGACCTATATAATCAGAAAACTATTTTTCATAATCATAGAAAGATTATGAAAGGAATATATAAAAATTGCTTTTTAAAAATTCTGGGAAGTGAATTAATATATTTTGAACATTAACTATGGATCAGGCCCTTTACATGTATCACCTCATTAAAATATTCTAAGCCTCTTACAAAGGATGGTGTTACAGAGGAAATGGAAGTTTCGGGTGGGACTGAAGAGAGAAAACTATGAGCAAGTAGAAGATGCAAAATTCAAGACCAATTTTGCATAAATTGCAAAACCACATATCCTCTACAAGCCCAAAAGGATAGTAAATTGGAAAGTCTCTGAAAGTAATATGAAAAACTAGTTTTAATATTCTATTGAATGAGAGTTTCATACCAATTTCTTTCAAAATTAATTTTAAAAGTCAGCTTACAGAGAGGAAAAATAAGAAAGGGGAGTGGGGTCTTATGAAAAATCATTAAAAAAGGGAGACCAATCAGAAGGAAGAAATGGGCCAGGGAGTGGAAGAGGGAGGAGATAAGTCCTGGAGAGTGATATTAGCCAAATTATTTTATTATATTTTGTGTGTGTACAAATATGTAACAATAAATCCCATCATTAAGTATGACTTTAAAGCAGCAGTCAAAAATGTGAAAGAAAAAAATGTGTTTCACAACTATAAAACTTAGTTTCTTAAGAAAGTCAATAAATTTAAAAAAGGACAACTGAAAGCTTATTAAAAATAGTCAGATTTTGACATTTTATGTCATTTTTAACATTTCTGTTGAAATGCTGAAACTGATATATTGATTTATTATATCTTGGTTTCAGGAAAATAAGACCCTTGTATCATTTTTATAACATGATGAAAATGTATGAACTTAATGTTGATACCAACATAATTAGTTTGGAAATCTGACATAATAAGTACACACACACACACACACACACACACACTGGGAATATTACCTCCTAAACACTCAGGATGTAGGGGGACCAACTGTCTTTTTTCACCTACAACTTGAGAGGTTCCCTGAACCTGGTGACTTCAATTCTAAAATGGGAAAGTCTCACCCAAGTTAGGACAAGTTTGTTACCTTTATAAACTCTGTTCATTTACCTTTATAAACTCAATGAACAGAGTCTGGGCTGTATTGGCAGACATGGTTTCAAGATTGAGCCAATGAAGTTAACAATTACAACTAAAGATGCAATGTTTGCCTTGATTGTTACTCTTGACTGACAAATGCAGTCTTATCCCTCTAATTTCTCTATGTGCCTCTGCATACCTACCCTGACGACCCAGACCAGGTAGGCACTTCTCTAAAACTGTCCCATCTCCCCAAGATGCCTGAAGTTTAGCTGTGAGCAGACTTCATCATTTCTTTTACATTGCCTAGTGATCACGACAGCATTGACATTTTTGCCCTTGCTGACCACTGAGTGAGGAGCCATTAAGAATGTCAGTCCCATACCTAAACAAACCACACAATAAAGATTTACTAAGGTTTAAAAGGTCAAAGCCAAAATCGACAGGTTACCTTGTGTTCTTTTTGGCTGCTCACCAGGAAGGAGAGGCATCAAAATGACAAGCAGAAAATTCAAAGGGCATTTCAGGCACAGTAAGCAGACACTTGGGCTGGAACTACACAATAATGGGCACACTTAATATTTCTCCAAAGTACGTAGACATTTGGTTAGAAGTTATTAATCATATTTGTTTAAGTGGAAGTTGGTTGCAACTATTTTTTTTTTCTTTTTGGACAAGCACATGAAAGGGAAGAAAATATGTTGAATACTATTCAAGTCCACAAGGAATGAGAATTGGCTCAGGTTTTCTTAATATACTCTCCTCTCTGTGGACCTCAAATGGACAGAACAGTAAACCTGAGGTACAGTGAATGAATCATGATGTGCTGCAGTCTCAATATTTAGCCTCAATATTAATGTATTTTCATGACAGTGGGGTGATGGTGGTAGTTTTTGCTTATTAGGATGACTGACCCAGATTTGAATGATAAGATTTTGAGAAGAAAACCTAATTTAAAAAGATGCAGCCAGTGATATATCGAAGTTAGCTGCTATGGCTCCTTATTGGTAAAACTGGGGGACTTTTCAAGCCAGTTAAAGCAGTGAAGATTTTGAGATCAGCATTGGTGAGAGAATTTATACCATGGAAATTAACAAATACAGTAATCAAGGCTTTCTTTTCCTTTTCTTTCCTTCTTTTATTGTTTAGAAAGCCAACGGTTAAACATTTACCAACAGACAACTGGACACAATCTCCCCAAAAGCTTGCAATCCAGATCAGTGTCAATTTTGATTAACAACAGAGGAAATACAAGGCACCTAGTATATCCATTTCCTCTCCTCCCTGTTTGAGAGGTAATCTTCACCATCCACAAGTCTAGATTACCACAGGTAATAAGATCTGGCTTACCTAAGGAACCTGATACCATGCAGAGCTGAGAAATATCGAAAAAGAGTTAAAATGAAGTGTGGAACAGTTATGCATATCAAGCACCACTTATTTTAGTTGAACACACATACTTTATTAAGAATGAACAAAAGAAGAAAAAAAGTCATCACTTTTCCTCTAGTTAATAATGAATCTCCCTTTCCCTGTTTCGAAATGCTTTTTGTTCAGTGAAATTCAGAAGCTATTTAAAAAAAAAAAAAATCCCAATACAGCTTTTCCATCTAGAAGTCTTGTTAAAAGCCCAGGAATCTTTTCTTGAATTAAACCTTACTTCAAAAGCATCAACTGCGGTCTCTGTTTGTCCCTGTGAGGAAGAATTAAACACTGCAGAGCTAAGATCCCAGAGTGATTCTTCTTTTTTTCTGCCTCAAACAAATTTTCTTTCAGGGCAACCCCATGGACAAGCAGCCCATGAAGAAGGCTTAGGAAGAAAGGCTTTTGCATTCTGTACATATGTTAAGGATCTGAGCATTCCAAGGTGAGTTACAGTGGTTTTCCTTTCATCAATCTGAAGGATTTATCACAAAATACCAAAATGTGACTCATTTATTTCTCATTTTCATTTTCTTTTTATTTATAGATTTAGGTGATGGCTTCTTGCTGTGGGGATTTGCATTCTCTGGCATTAGTCAAGGTCAAAGTACAGAGCCTTTGTGTGCATTCTAAGCCCTTTCAAATATGTGTTCACCCCCTGGTGTGATGCATTAAAAAAAGATACCTTATTCAGAATCGACCACAGGCTCCTGCATTTTGTTTGTCTTCTATTAAAGACTAAGCAGCTACATTTTCATTTCAAATTCCACATAAATGCTTTCAGAATAGCTTAAATCTGGAGCTGTCTAAAGACAGGGAAGGTATTAGAAGACCTCCCAGGATCCCTCAGAGAAATCCTTTAGGGTTTTAGGCACTGCAAAGGCTTTCCCTTTTGTGTGCTCCTCCCACCCCCCCAGTACTAAAGAACACTGTCTCTCTTGGTTTTGCTCTTCTCCTTTCTCTAAGTTTGGTTCTCTTTCCTCCCAGTGTTTTTGTATCCCCATCTCCTCTCTCCAGATCTTACCTGGTCTTGATAAAGGTGCGAACAAAAAACACATTACATATAGATACTGCAAACAATATGCAATATGATGCCCATGAATATAGGCGTGATTGTGAATATATCCACCTTAACAATATCCAATTAAGATGCTAAAAATCTATTAAGTGGCAGAATAATGATTATTTGATAAAGCAGACTTCAGAGACTGACAGACTTATTGTTACATTCCTTTGAAATTCTTTACATGAAGATAGGTAACTTACTGAGCATCACTAGGCATGCTGCCCTAAAATTGAGAAATAATAGTTACCACTTGCTAGGTTTGTTGTGAGATGTAGTTGAAAAATGTATATAAAGCACTTGCTCAAGCATATAGCAAGCATGCAGAAAAAAAATGTAAATAACATTTTGGCAGTTGTTGAATTACCTGTGCCATAAAAGTCTCAGCTCACCATAAGAAAGCGAGATATTGGATTCAGACACAGCCTCTACTAACCTCAACTCCAAATACTAAGAAGAAACCTTATGCATGCAAGATGCTCCACTAGGAAGGAATCCAAGGTGTTCAGAGCAAATATGTCACAAAAGAATCAGAGGTCAAAATGAAACTCAGCCAGGCTTCCTGATGATCCCTGGTGCTCTTCTCTCTAGTCATCTCAGCTTTCTCAGCAGATAATATACTTTATCTTTTTTTTTTTGTATAATATACTTTAGTGTTCTTAAGTCTATCATGTCAATGTACCAAGAATATTTGTAGATGTTCCATAAAGAGGTAAGAGTTTAGGAATGCCAAGATAGTAGAGGCCAAGTACAAGAAAAATGCTGGCTAGAGAGAAAGATAGATGGGTTGTCATGTCCTTGTTTCCATAGGTCCCATTAATAGAATACAGGCAGATGAGAATGGTGGGAATAAGGGGTTAAGAGAATAATTCTATAAAATGGGTCCATAGTGTTGACTCCCATGCTTTCTTTGACAAGAAGCAATTTACCTGCATCTCTGACTGGCTTAAGTAGTCAGGATATATCATATTCCCCAGAAAACTACCTGTTTCATGAAGGTGCAGGTCTGAAATAATGTTGATAAGAGGAACCCAAGTTACACTGAAGGGAGACTTTTGTGACGTTTCACAGACTGGATTGCAAAACTCAGGAAGCTAAGGATAATTCCTCCTAAGCATAAAATTTGTAAGAACTTATGGTTAAGAATCCACTTAGAACTGATCAGCATGAACTAAAGTAACCTGGAGTTCTCATGGCAGTGGGGACTTTGAAAGTCTATTGTCATCTTGCTGAAGCCAGAATTATACTGGCAGTCAGTTATAGATAGGTAAATCGAGTCAGGTTGGATCAGGGAGGCCAATTTTGAGTGAGTCCAGCAAGTTGGAGACTGTCCATTGAACTGTTAATTCCGTTAGAGTCTTTTCTCCATCCTTATCAAGAACCTCCCCCTGTTCCAACCTGGGAGAAGTCTATGTTACCCCTTTTTAAATAAATCCTGCTTTATATGCTTGCCTCAGTGTGCTTCCCTAATGTTCAGACTTCAACATGTGGGGAAGCAGGACTCATCACCGGTAACCGGCGGTTACATTGCTATCAGTCAAAAGTCAAGAGATGGACTTAGGTGGGATTCTCTGAAAATTTCTTGGGAATCCACAATAAAACAGGAATTCAGGACAGGTACATGGTTTGGCTCCTTTCCTCTCTGAGAGGATCTACTCTACCTTCAGAGAATCCCCTCTCCTTGTACCTCTCCCTTCAATAAACTCATTCATTGCCTGTTCCTCAGAGTGACATATCTGAAATCTTTCTGACTTGATCGCAAGAATTGGGGTTTAAAAGGGACTTTTCTTATGGCCTCAATTTCCCATTGTTATGACAACTCCACCATGGAAGTCGTATTACCAATGACAACTCTCACTACAGGTTCTGTATTCTAATCAGGTGAAAATAAAGTAACCAGTAGGAATGATGGGGCAAGGTCTTCAATGAGGTTTGTACAGAGAGGTGACCAAGGCACAGGTCAGCATCTAGGACAAGACTTGCCCAGTCACTGGAGCCTTGAGCCACTCTCACTGAGCCCTTTCTGCTCTACTTTATATTGTGTTACTTTCACTTTCAATAAATCTATGCTCTGCCTGTTACTTGCTGCTTGTCTTCTCAAATCTCTGTTTGGGATGGCAAGAACCTGAATCCCAATGGAACACCCCACTGGTATCAATCCTTCCTTCCTTCTTCATTCTCACAAAGACATACTGACTCCATTATGAATTACAGGACTCCTGGATTTGAAAGACATCCCATTGTAGAAAAGGAATGTGTTTTCAGAATCAATGAAACGTGAATTCAAAATTAATATCCTACTGTGAGATCCGTCTTTCTCACAAATTCTTTCCCTCTGTTTTACTCCCTCCCCCTTTCCTGGTTTTCATGGTGTTTTTATTGATTCTTAAAATTCTATATGGCAGATAGAGCAGACATGAAATACAGGAAGGTTAGGTAAGGGAAACATAAAAAAGCTCAGTCAAGGAGGTCAGAGAACACTCAGATCCAGGTAGGATTTGGACTTCTAAGATCTATTTATGCAGACAGGCAAGTGAAGTAAGTATCATAAGGGGGATTTTTGTTGTTGTTACTGCATTTGAGCCAAAGGGCTCTTTTTACATATCTTGAAATCCTAGGAATTCCAAAATCATAATTTGAGAAAATGTCAATACCAATAATAGTCAAATCCATGAACCTGTAGGACATAGATCCAGCTGATACAGGGAGAAGATGGCCATTAGGACCAGGGGTATCACAGAGGTAACTGTCCAGGGACAATAGAATGGCTTCTGTGAGATGGCTTCTGTTGTCTTTCCGTGGAGTGGCCACCCCACCTACAGATATCTCAGTGCTGTAGCACATCATCCTGCCACTACCTGAGGCAGCTTCAGAGGACCCCTCTTCACCCCGATTCTTGTGATCACACCAGAAAGATTTCAGACATAGCACTCAGAGTAACAGGCATGAGTTTATTAGAAGGGACAGAAAAGGGAGAAGGAGACACTCTCAAGGGAGAAAGTGGAACCTCTCAGAGAAGAAAAGAACAGAACACCACTTCTGACCTCCAGTTTTATTGGGGGTCCCTGGGAAGCTTTCAGAGATTCCCACGCAGGCCCAGCCCTTGACTTTTTATTTACTTATTATTTATTTTGGTACCAGGGATCGAATCCAGGGGCACTTAACCACGGAGCCACATTCCCAGCCTTTTTATTTTATTATTTTTTTAAATTTTGAGATAGAGTCTCCCTAAGTTACTTAAGTCCTCATTAAATTGCTGAGACTGGACTTGAATTTGTAATCCTCTTTCCTCACCCTCATGAGCCACTGAGATTACAGGAATATGACAATGTGTCTCGCTCACCCTTTGACTTTCAACTAACAGCAGGATGATAGGATTGTCAAATTTCCACTGTGCCTGACAACTCTAGGTCACTTTGGCCCATGCTGACCAGTACTAATTGGAATCTGTTCTTAGAGATTTTATGGTTAGGGAGAGTTATCCATACCTCCCTAAATTCTGAGATCTGGTCTATGCAGGGTCACAAAAGAAACCTCCCACACCCTTTCAGGGTAACTTGTTTTCTTTCTATTGGCATTTCAGGCCTGCATTTCTCCTGCAGATAGTTTGCTGAGAAATGTAAATATACTGTCAATTTAAGCCATGCAGGGATGCAGGTAAATTGCTTTTTTAAAAGAAAGTTTGTGAGGTCAGCACTGTGGGCTGTTTATAAAATTATATTGACTTTTTATTTACTTATTATTTATTTTGTTTATAAAATTATTTCCTTAATCTCATATTCCCACTGTTCACAATCTGTTTCCCATCAGCAGCGGCTATCTGTACTTTATACATATCACAGCATAGACATGTTCCAAATATTTCTTAATTTGTCTTGTTCTAAAAGAGTATCTGGAAGCCTAAATGAATTCCTCTATGGAGGCAAGCAACCTCTGACACTGGAGAAGACTTTGTTTTCAGTTGTGGGGTCCTTCTGTTCCCCAGTTAAATCTTCATGAATTCATCTCATGTGAAACCTATTTCTCTGGGTCATGTAGAGTGTAAGGTATATTCAAATGACTTGAATATTTGCAGTAACACCAGGACCTAAATCTCAACAATACCTAGACAAATTAAAATCTCATTCTGAAATATAAATAGAACAAAAAAGTCAATTAATTAATATAAGATGTCATGTTTCCCTTTATCATTAAGTGTAAAACTGATGATTTCCAAACTAGATTTCTGCATTTGCAAATGTAGTCAATCAAATACAAAATCTTAAAATCTGAAAAATAAAATGATGATTCCCATATGGTATGACTCATGAACATGCCTGGGAATGTATGAAAATACAGTATAACGAGTGACCTGGTAAAATCATGCAAGAGGTACATGAGGAGCCCAGAGGAGGAAAAACCCAACTGAGGCAACAGGACAGGGATCAGAGAAAGTTTCATGAGGTAGGTAAGCCCCCAGAGCCCTGTCTTGAAAGATGACTAGAAATCAGCCATAATAAGACACTAGCAAAAGAAGCACCACAAGCAAGAGCAAAATACTATGCACAAGTGCACACTTCTGCGTGTGCATCTGTTTGCATGCATGGGAATCCTAACTTTCATCCTCCTTCATAAGTAAGTGCAATCAGGCATATAAA